CCCAGGAGGAGACACCAGGGGGCCCCTCGGCCCCCTTGCTGTTGCTGCTGCTGCCCCGCTGCAGCAGAGAGAGGAGAGAGGGGGGGGCCCCCTGCAGCAGCTGCTGCTGCACCGGCACCGAGAGGAAGCAAAGGGAGCGCAGCAGGGGGGCCCACAGCGGCAGCCGCGAGCGAAGAGCAGCAAGAGCCTTCAGTTCTAGCTGCTGCTGCAGCAAGCTTGTGTCTGCTGCGTCTCCAGCAGCAGCTGCTGCTGCTGTTTCTGCTGCTGCTGCTGTAGTTGCTGCTGCTGCTGCTGCTGCTGCTGCTGTTATGGAGGCTCCTGATGTACCGTCATCGTCTTGAGTGCGACACTGGTGCAGCAGCAACTGCTGCAGTTGCTGCTGCTGCTGCTGCTGCACGTGCTGCTGCAGCAGCTGCTGCTGCTCAGCCACCCACAGCTGCAGATACAGAGAAGGAGAGCCCGCGGGGACTCTTGCTGCTGTTGCAGTGAAGCCGCACTCTGAGGGCAGAGATGTCTCTATCCACCCCTACACAGAGGCACAGCAGCAGCAGCAGCAGCAGCAGCAACAGCAGCAGTAGCAGCAACAGCAGCAGTAGCAGCAGCAGCGGCAGCAGCAGCAGCATCACAGGTGGAAAGAACAGCTGCAGCAGGGAGACAAAATGTTGTAAGGGACAGGCAGCAAGAAGCAAGCGAACGAGAGAGAAAGCAGAGACAGCAGGAGACAAAAGGAGACAGCAGTAGACAGGAGACAGAAAAAGACAGAAGGAGACAGAAAGAAACAGAAAGAGACAGAAAGATACAGGAGACAGCAGGAGACAACAGGAGAGAAAGAGACAGAAGGAGACAGCATGAGACAGAAGGAGACAAAAGGAGACAAAAGGAGACAGAAGGAGACAAAAGGAGACAGAAGGAGACAAAAGGAGACAGCGACGAACCTGCAGCTCTCGCAGCAATTCAGCTGAGGCTCTATCGAGGAGACGAATAGACAGCACCCCTCCCTCTGCTGTCCACGCCGCCTGCACGCAGCAGCAGCAGCAACAGCAGCAGCAACAGTAGCAGCAGTAGCAGCAGCAGCAGCAACAGCAGCAAAAGCAACAATACAAACGAAAGCAAAAACAGCAACAGGAGTAGCAGCAGGGGCAAAAGCAGAAACAGCAGAAAAAACAACAACACAAACGGCAGCAGCAACAGCAGCAGCAGCAGCAACAGCAGCAGCAGCAGCAGCAGCAGCAGCTGCAGCAGCAGCAGCAGCAGCAGCAGACGTACGCATGCAATGTCTCCTTTCTCTGTCTGCAGCTGCTTGAAGGCAATGATCGCCGCATTCGCCTCCATAGACTCAGAGTCGCACCGCAGCACCTGCACCGTATATATATATATATATATATATATATATATATATATATATATATATATATATATATATATATAT